GTTTCCTTCCACAAGGGTAAGCATCTACACTCCTGCACCATTGTCGAGACTTTAGAAGTTGGTGTCCGAGAGACCGTTATATTTTTTTTCTTGTTAAAGGGTACGCTTTGGAATCATATTATTGATCTGTCCAACAACTAAAATATATATGGTACACAGTTTTGACACCTTCCGCCTCTAAACTGTCAGTGGTATGCAACGGGTTAAGGGTAGTAGTTTTTGGAAAAACACGAAAAGCTTATATAAGGTCATATATGCATCTCTACGTCCATCGCCATCTTTTCTCTTCAACAGATGTTTACATTTTTCATCGCCCTCGTTTTCATTGTCTCTCTCTTCGTCTGTCTCACTCATTCTTTCATCCAATCTCTCTTTTTCTACATCTTCATTTATTCTCTCTCATTTCTTATTCACACTTTCATTGTTTAGCCTTTGCTTACTAGGCCTACCCTCATTCCTGTATTCATTTCGTTGTTCCTTTCCCTTCTTTCTGTCAGTCTGATTGAACTCCAAGGATTATCATCTTCCCTGCCAACAGTTGGATCATCTGAAATTTGTGGCTCAAACAGGTAGGATTTCATTCTGAACCTACTCTGTCAATTTGCAGCCTCATTTGCCACATCTGTGCCATTGCCCTTTAAGCAAATTTCGCCCACAGAGTTAAGCAGATCTCAGAAGATATCAGCTGATTCGTGTCAGACACTATTGCAGCAACAGCAGGAATCACATTTGGCTCAAATTAAGCAACCATCTCATTAGTCGCTCGTGGCTAGGTTAAGGACGGGATTGGGTTCACTAGTTCAGTTAGGTTAGTGAGATTTGCGTAGGCCTTGTAGAAAAGGTTTTTACCATTTTTTTATTCCTGTCTGTATTAATGTGATTAATGGTGCATGAGAAACGTTAGTATGTATTAATGGGAATGTAAACTTAAATACTAATAATCAAATTAAGACTCAGATTATTAATTATTAAATGCCACACAGCCCTGCCAGCCGAATGATTATGACCAGGCACCCATTCTTCTTATTATTATTATCATTATTATTATTAATTTCTTCTAGTGTAATAATCGTGGCCAATATTCCGTAATGATACTTTAAACAGGGAATTTCATCTCGGTGAACACCTAGGCCGGGAAAATATACCGGTCTATAAGGGGATCCTGAGATAGACAAGAAGAATATGACCGCCCATTATTGGCAGTTTCCCTCAAAACCGCATTTGTTAATGAAATTAAAAAAAAAAAAAAAAAAAAAAAAAAATATATATATATATATATATATATATATATACGATATGTTGTTTTGGCGAAATCTGAATAGGACTGGCCGTTAACTAGTTCAGCGTTGGTCCTCCACCAGAGGGACACTACGCCAGAGTTCTTCATTTTTTTTTCTTTATCACGACCCAGTTTGATTTTATACATTACTTTCATGACCTGGTATGACCATTCTACCGTACCTTTCAACTCGGTATCACTTCACACAGACACACATATATAAATGTACGCATATGTATATAGAAATATATTGAGTATACATGTATGTGTGTGTACATAAGCATATATATATATATATATATATATATATATATATATATATATATATATATATATATATATATATATAATGTGTGTGTGTGTGTGTGTGTGTGTGTGTGTGTGTGTGTGCATATATATGTGTGTGTGTGCGCATATGTTATTATCATTATTATTATAATCCTCATCATCACCGTTATTATCAATATTATCATTATGTGACAACTCACTGAAGATATGATGAAGATCCCTGCTCTACAACCATTGAAATATACGTTACCCCCTTGTCCCTTATGCTACGGTCACACAGGTCTTTTCTGTCCAGGGATCCCTAAGAGCCTCGCGAAGTCTGGCCAGCCGAAGCTTTTGATCGGTCAGCTGACATGATTTCGGCGAGGCTGTCAAGGGATCCCATGACAGAGAAGAGTAGTGTGACCTTAGCTTCACGCCCTAAGTGATTAGGTATGTTTTATATATATTTCTCATCTTCTTAGGTGGCTATTGTTGTTTTTATCCCATGCCCTGTCCAAATTATCCCATTTATTTTATTCTATAAGTAACTTTTTTAGTATTTTTTTTATATATGTTCTTATATATGTGTGTGTACTACACAAATGTATATACATACATGCACATATATACATATAAATATGTGCGTGTGTGTACTTATGAATTTTCATTTTCATAATTATATATACAAATCAATGGACTTGCAACGATAAAAGTGAGTGTTCATGGCTGGAAACCGGAAGCACTTGCATACATCACAAGATCCCAAGGCTGTGCACCTTTGACTTCCCACTAGGCGTTACATAATGATTTATGTATATATACATGTATATGTATATATATGTATATATATATATTAAATATATACATATGTACATACATATATATGTTTATATGTGTGTGTTATAATATATATATATATATGTATGTATATATATATATATATAATATATA